GTGATCTTGGGATATTACTTTGCATCCCAGCCTTACTTTTCTTCATTTGCATGCTGGAGATCGTAACACGTAGGTTTTTTTTTTTTGTTCTTGCATGTTTATGTGTGAGGGTTATGCTTCTGGCTCACAGTGAAGATTCTAAAAAAATACTGAATGGATTTAAGGAAGAAAGAATATACCTACAGACAACTTGAAAACTCTAAACCATTATATAAATATACAAATGCCATGAATTATAATTATGGACTTTATAGAATGTTAAGTAGTTGACAAATTTTAAAAAGAAAACGCCTGTCTATGAACTAAAAATGCTGTGTCATTGTTGGGTAAGGCATAAAGCCTAAATAATATCAGAAGTGGAACCCCGTGGCGATGTCTAGTGGGCACATGGTGCTTGGAAATGTTATAGCTCGCAGTTTTCCAGGAAATGATGTGCTGTTGTCAATTTCCTGTTAAACACGGTTCTCACGAGGTTAATAGCAAGTGCATTTCCCCAGTTAAGATGGATGGTGGGTGGAGTGGAGGGGGCATCTTGTGGTATACCATGATGGTGCTCCCGTGAAAATAATTTCTTCTCAGTAGTTGAAGAAATTGCTTCATTTCCCCTTGCAGAGCTGAGAACATGTTGTGGCTGGTGGAGTTAAGGAACATACGGGTCTATCCATCATCTTTGTTCTTGAAGACGTTACATTTTCAGTATGACCGAGAGACCAACTTTTTCAATAAATAACAAATGTAAACTTTTCTATCACCTAATACCGTAGGCCATGGCCAAAATTCATGGAAGAAATTGAGTGTGAATTTCAAAGACATGGTTGTAATGCAACACCTCTCCTGTCACTTAAATCAACATGGCAGCCAATATATTTTCAACTTTAGGTGATGGCAGTTAACCCAGCATCCTCCACATGCAAGGCATTGTATGCTGATTTTTATTAGTTACAGATCACTCTGTTCCTTGGTGGCGCTGATGTCCCCATTTTGAGCTGTTCTGAGAGCCTTGATTGTGAGACACAGCATCTCCAACCTTTTCTCTGTTCCTGGGCCAGATGAGCAGGCTGGAAAAACATCCTTTGAATAACAGAAAGGCTTTGAGGGAGACCAGGAAACATTGTCTTCCCCTCAAGAAATTTCATAGCTAGATTCTGGTTTCTTTGCTAGCACCTACAGTGGCATGATGGGTTTCCCAGGTGGCGCTACTGGTAAAGGATCAGCCTGGCAATGCAGGAGGCATAAGGGATGGAGGTTCCATCCCTGGGTGGGGAAGATCCCCTGGAGGAGGGCATGGCAGCCCACTCCAGTGTTCTTGCCTGGAGAATCCCATGGACAGAGGAGCCTGGTGGGCTGCAGTCCATGGGGTCGCAGAGTCTGACACAACTGAAGTGACAGCCTGCCTGCGTGCACAGTGGCATGAATGCTGCCTTTTAACTTCACGTTAGTGTTTCAAACAGAGCAGCAGGAGGAGATTGTGATGTGTGTCAGTAGGCTCCTCAGCCCCACCCTGGCCTTATTAAAAGTCTCTGCTCAATGTCAATCTTTGGTGACATCATTATAGCCTTTGCACATATAAGCTACTCTTTAAAATAAAGGAGCCAGAGAAACAAAAGTGAAAGGAGGAAGAGAGAAAGGACGAAGGGAAGGGAGAGAGGGAGAAAACCATTCTGGATTCATTTATTGACCCTATGAGATGAGGTGAGACCAGTACTTTCACTTAAAACTATCTAAGGGCCGGGCATGGAGACTAGGGAAACTGGGACAACTTTGGTTTTTAGAAAGGTTCACAGCAAGAAGGATATTCACACTCATGACATTTAAGTTTAAAGGGGTTGGGCTTTATCTTCTTATTGGTTCAGTACAATTTAATAGCAGCGTTTGAGAGAACAAACCCCAAACGCTCTTCAACATTCATTGAACAATGAAGAATAAGCAAGCTTTCAGAAGGTAATGAGCAACAAGGACCATCTGGGAGATGTTAACTCAGGAGGAACGCCACTGTTTCTCCCCGTCCTCCCGTGACATCTCTGTTTCATGTGGCATGGAATCCACAGACCACGCCAATGTATATATTTTTAATACAGTTCATTTTAAAATTCCCTGTTGCTTTAGGGCATTCAGAGGGAGAAGAGGAGATATACTCTCATCATATGAGGCAGTCGGTTCTCACTGCAGCTTTGAGACAAGTGAGCAATTTGCCCTTCCTTTGACAAACTCTGCAGGCTGTCAGTCAGGACATGAGTAAAGACCTCGCTTTAGAGAGGAACCACTTTCTGACAGTAACTATGCCTTGATGGAGAGCGCGGCATATGAGTTATGAGCTCTGGCCTCTGAGTTGTGAAAGATGACTCAGAAAATGTAGCCTTGGAGAACTACTCAGGAAACGCCTGTGGCAGCGCTAAGCCCTGAGCAGACTCACTCATGTCTATTTTTGGCTCCTCTTCAGAGGACCAGAGGGCACAAGCCAGCCAACCCCATTTCTAATCGCTCCTGTTGCGATGTGTTGACATCTTTCTTCTGCTTCGTGAGAATGTATGGAGTCAGTTATATGAGGGCAAGGAGAGGAAAGGAGAACGGGTAGTTTAAGCCACCTCTGTGGTAGTGACCCTGGGTTTCCCTGGTGGCTCAGTGGTAAAGATTCTGCCTGTCAAGCAGGAGACTTGAGTTCGATCCCTGGGCCGGGAAGATCCCCTAAAGAAAGAAAATGGCAACCCACTCCAGTACTCTTGCCTGGGAAATCCCATGGACGGAGGAGCCTGGTGGGCTACAGTCCATGGGGTTGCAAAGAGTCGAACACAGCTAAGCGATTGAGCAAACACACATGCTTGTGACCAGAAAGGGGTGCACGTTGAATGTCACAGACCAGGAAGGTGCTTGAGAAAGGGTATTTCGGGAAAGAAAAGCATTTTGTGAAACTTGAAAACATTTCTGTTTGAGCAGTAAGCACTTTATGAGTGTTGAGTAAGAAAAACAAGATAGAATGCCCATATGATGTTGCATATGATGCAAAAGAGGCTGTAGTGAGATGAGAACATGGAGTGTTTGAAACTCAGCTTTGTAAGAGTTGTATGCCAATGCTGAAAACTCACTTTGCTCGCCTATCATTTGCTCAGAGTCTCCTAGGGATGGGAAAAAAGGTACATGCCAAAAAAATGATAAAAAAGGTCAATAAGGAAGGAACAAAGGGATGAGAGAGAATGAAGTAATAGGACTTAAAAAATTATTTTTGGCCAAGACCTTTTATAAATGTTTTTAATAAGGACTTAAATTTTTTTTTCCCTTGGCAACAAAGTTATTGATAAAATTGAAAATGCCGTCTTAAATGCTAGGTTACAGAACTAATGATTGTGGGATTTTTATATTTAGATCCACAGGCTATTAGAGCTCTAAAGGACACAGAAGATCATTCAGTTTACCTCTCATTTTAAGAGATGGGACCAGAGGTTTAGAGTGATGTTTTCAAGGTCACAAAACCAATGAAAAAGCCAGTTAGGAACTTAAATTCTGATTCTTAGCCTTGGACTAAGGACCATAGCACTTTCTTTTTCCTTCTCAGTGATATGATGAGGAAAATAATGATCAAATGATTTACTGACTTGATGGAGGTCAGTGGACACATTAGAAGCAAACGTGTGACTAGAACCAGTCTCTTTATTTCTGGTCCAGACCATGAATTTACTTCATGTGACACCATTAGTGGTTTCATAGGTTAACTTTTCTGAGATGACATGGAGATTAGTGGGTAGGAAGCTTAGTAGGGAATTCTCTTGAAAATAACATGTATAGAATGACAGAGAAGGAGGCAGGATTGAGTACAGAGGAAAACTGAGCTATGATGCTCTCTGATGAAGGTCACGGGTGATGCAGGGGAAAGTCTGAGACTAGGACAGCCCTTGAGGATTGTCGTGAGTTGGGGCAGAGGGGCCAGGCCTTATAACCTTCATGATCAGTCACTATTTGCTGCACTCAGGGAGGAGCCTTGACCTTGATTGAGGACCTTGTCTCTCTTCAGCCAAGGCGCTTCATAGAGAGGGCTGACAGCTGGCAGCAGTTCCAGAAGCTGGAGAATAACATCTTCATTCCTAACTGGGCAACTTGGCAGAAGATCAGTGAGGTGCTTGTATCTCTCTTGGATCCACTTTTCATATAAATATGGGAAATCGATTGTCCAGGGTTCCAGTGGGTTTCTTTTCCTGGAGGCTTCTTACAGAAATAAGGTTGGTGGGATAAGTGAGCACCCCTTCTGATAGAGCTAGCTGTAAGGTCTTAAGTGATACTCACCGTCTCCCTCCTAGATTATCCACTCTAGACTTCCCTCACCTCTGCTGGTCTTGGTGGCTTTCCTGGTGGTCTGGCCCTAACTATCCTGAGCTTCTGGTCATCTTACCTTCCTTCTTCAAACCTTAGTTATATTAGTCCATTTGCCATCATGTTTAGGCAGGTGGATACATGAGTGCCAGACACAAATATTTCTTCCTGTTTTCATCGTATATGAGAAGCCCTACTTTCTCCCGAAAATCTGGGTTAATTGCAGCACTGCCAAGACGGTGACTCCTTCTATTGTAAGCTTGTCACTTGAGGTGCCAGAAATAACCAGGTACCAGCAAAACTTATATAGTACCACTAGAATCATTCTGTTCCCTGGTTGTAGCAGTGCCCCTTTGGATAATGTGACCTCAAGTCATACGGTCCCCAGAATGCCCTTGCTAAAGCTTTTTTAAAAATCTGGTCCAACTTTCATGATATCTTAAATATAGAGGACAACTGATATTTTTTGTGGGATGTCTAGTTGGTCAAGATCTCTTAAACCTATATCAGGACAGGGAAAAAGAGTTAACATAGCCCTTGGGCAAGATTGCAAATGTATACCATTGTCCCTTTCAAATAAACGTGAGCTCTTTCTGATCTTCTTTCCTATTATGGTTAGAAAAGAATGTGTTGGACAAATCAATGACCGTGAGGTCATAATGACCTTCGCTGGCAAAGATGTCACACTTGGCAAGCAGCTGCAATTGGACTACTACTGCTTAGTAGAGTTTGTGGCTATCCATTGTCTTTCTTGAGAATTCATCTCATTTTTTAAGGTGAGTAGTGAGTTAAATGAAGATGTGATGGAGATCATTATCCTTCTATCCCTTAGGTCTTTAATGGAAGTCTTGCAAGTTATGCTAGTCTCCCTGGCATGTGATAGCTTCTTAGAGAGTGCTCTGGAAAAAAATACCCCATGGAAGGGAAGAGAAAGAAGCAAGGTTGGGCAGAAGGAAAAGTCAGGCTGGGATGCTTGTTTGGCGAATGCCATGGCTGACCCCCTGGGGAGCTCTTGGAGTGGACTGGCTCTGCAGAGTTGTTCCGAGTTGGGGTCAGGGGACAGGCCTTTACACTCCTGTGTCGACTGTGTATTGGATGCAGGATGTCTAGGGAAGGGACATAACCTTGGACGAGGACGCACTTCTCAACCAAGGCACTTCCAAATGAGGTATGATAGTGAGGACTGGCTGCCGGCAGCACTTACAGCCCCTGGAGGAAGAGCTACTTTGAATCAACTGCTAAATGCAATATGGGAACCCTTATAAAATGTGATACAGCACTCAAAATTACAATAATATATTTTATATATTTTTGGAAAAAGAGACTTTTAAGTCGGTTTTAGTCTATTTGAAGTGAAGGATCACACACACACAAATGGGTGGGGAGAAAAAGAAATGCACACCATACTCTAATTGCAAAAGAGCACCACTCTCAATTAGCATACTGAACAGACACAGAACCCAGAAGAGAACGGTATTTGTAGACTGATGAATGAGTCTGGAATAAACTTCTTCCCATAAATTACCTAAATGCAGCTGAGGCTAGCGTAAACTGGTTGCCCTAGGCTGGCTTCCCTGTTTCATTGGAAAACGAGTGGCACTTCACGTTGTGGAACTAATTGCAGTTGGAATGTGAGTTCAAGAGCTTTAGGTATATTATGGATTGGAACTAGCCCATAAACAGTAATTATTTATTCTATTTATGTATTTGGACACAAGGGTCTCGGTCAAGACTTGATATGAGTTTGCTGTATATTGTTAATGTCTTTATTATTCAAAATACGGGAAGATGAGTTTAAGCAGGAATTTCAAAAGTGAACACTTATCTGAGAGATCTTCTCTGACTTCCCCACTGAAGTAGCTTCTTTCTTGTTATTCTTTGCTCCTTATCCTTTTTGTCTCTGTACTCATTACTGTGTGATTTATAATATACAGCATTTATTTGCGAGTGGAATGACTTATTTACCACCTTGGTTTGGAATGTGAACTTTGAGGAGGTGGGGGATTTGTCTACTCTGCTTATTGCAATACCACTAACACCTCAAAGAGTACATGATGCATGGTAGATGCTCAACAAATGATGGTCAAAGGATACACCAATGAATATATGAGCCATACTTTATCTGGTTAATAGATGTCTCTGCTTTTGGAACACGTTATTACAGTTAAGGTCATTAACAAGGTTAAGAATTAATGGTTGCTTTTGTTGAGTTCCAGGACTAAAATGTCTTAACTTTTCCTCTGTGAGAGTCTCTGGGCTTTCGGTCAGAAGAGTTAACTATGGTTAACACCTCACTAAACACTCTTTAATTTCAGTAGCCAGAGATGTTCAGGTTTCATCAATTGTCCTGATTTTGGGGCTCTTGGCAGCTACTAACGATGCTACTATAGTGATGATGATGATGATGGTGGTGGTGATGACAGTAGGTAATATTCATCAAGCAGTTTTTGCTAGTTACAGTGCTAAGAGCTGGGCATTAGCACTTACGCGATGCTCACTACATCTCTTATCAAAAACAATTTACCATTGTACTGATGAGAAACTTGGGGGTAAAGAGAAGTAAATATCCAAAGCCAGACACCTGGCTGGTGGTAGAACCAGCATTTGAACTGGGGTGAGACATACACCAAAGCCTGTGATCTTAGTGACTAGGACATTTTGAGTCAGTAGTGAGGTCAGAAAATGGAGAGGAAGGGGTTATACCAGGAAGAAAAATACATAACATCTTCTCCTTTCAAAATTGTAGATAGTGAAATGGGAGGGAATAGTTTGAGTGTAGTTCTGAAATAAGATGTACAGTCAAGTAGCAATAAGGCAGGAAGAAAAAATATCAGAACGTCATTTGAAACTTAGCGACAGGAGAAGGAGATCCATCTTTTTAGTGGGACAGGGTAGGCTCATAGAGGACATTCTTATTCTGCTGAGACTGAGAAGCGGAGGAAGGACGTGCCAGAAAGAAGGGACAACAATGCTGACATATTGTCAGAAGTGAGTCTGTCAAGTAATGTATCTAATCAGTGTAAAAAGCTTCTCTCTCTCAGTAAGATATTGCAAATATTTAAGATACATTATACATGGTTGAAATTTTTCTAATTCCTTTTCATCCCTTCCACACTTACTAGTTGGCTTTCCCCCCATCATTTTTTGAGTTATTTTTTACTGTCTGGCACAATAAGATATTCCAATTTCATCTTGTACTTTCTCTCCCTGACCCTTGGAATCAGCCATTTCTCTAAGTAGCCCTAGTTACCTTACTTTGTAATGGTATCTTGAAACCAAGATTTAGGTGCTAGATGTGCTCATTGCGACTGGGGTATCATTACACACACACACATTTTAATGTTACTGCAATGGGGCATGTGTCATTGAATATCATCCAAGTGAATCTTAAGGGTACATCATTTGGGGAGTTAAACAGAGCTAAAATCCAGTTGAAATCATGGTTATAATTGTCAGAAGTGAGTCTGTCAAGTAATGTATCTAATCAGTGTAAAAAGCTTCTCTCTCTCAGTAAGATATTGCAAATATTTAAGATACATTATACTTGGTTGAAATCTTTCTAATTCCTTTTCACCCCTTCCACACTTACTAGTTGGCTTTCCCCCCATCATTTTTTGAGTTATTTCTTACTGTCTGGCACAATAAGATATTCCAATTTCATCTTGTACTTTCTCTCCCCGACCCTTGGAATCAGCCCTTTCTCTAAGTAGCCCTAGTTACCTTACTGGGTAATGGTATCTTGAAACCAAGATTTAGGTGCTAGATGTGCTCATTGCGACTGGGGTATCATTACACACACATACATTTTAATGTTACTGCAATGGGGCATGTGTCATTGAATACCATCCAAGTGAATCTTAAGGGTACATCATTTGGGGAGTTAAACAGAGCTAAAATCCAGTTGAAATCATGGTTATAAAAATTGTTATTAGTTTAATAAGCAATTATAACTGCAAAAGACTGTGAGACTACATAACCTTTTAAATTCGTCTTGAGAGAAGCAATCAAGTCTTGTTTTGCAACTTGGGATCAGTTGGTTGGTAATCCAGATTCTGTAATCTTAGATTTCTAAGATTGTGTAATTTAATTAGAATACCATAACTCTGGGATGGTATCAAAGTTAGTATATCCATAACATTAGTCATATGTGAAGATGCATAGAAATAATAAATCAAGCATGTGTCATTAATGTTTAGAACCAGATCTAAATATAGTAATACATTTTGAAAACACTGTATTTCTGTAATTTTTGCTGACTGATTAAGGTGTTTGAAGTTTCAAAAGAATCAGCCAAGCTAACTTTTTAAAGTTAATTTTTTGTTGGAATATCATTGATTTACAAAGTCGTGTTAAGTTTCTTTTGTACAGCAAAGTGAGTCAGTTATACATACACATATTTCCACTATTTTAAAATTCTGTTCCCATATAGGTCATTAGAGAGATGGAACAGAGTTCCTTGTACTATTCAGCAGGTTCTTAAATGTGTTTGTGTCACTCTTGGTCACTTTTGTTAGTCTGATTCTTTGCAACCCCATGGACTGTATCTCATCAGGCTCCTCTGTCCACGGAATTCTTCAGGGGAGAATACTGGAGTGGGTAGCCATTTCCTTCTCCAAGGGTTCTTCCTGACCTCGGGATTGAAGCTGCATTGCAGGTGGATTCTTTACCATCTGAACCACGAGGGAAGCTCTGGGAAGCTCTGTTCTATACGTAGTGATGTGTATATGTCAACCCCAGTCTCCCAATTTAGCTCCCTCTCTTTTCCCCTCGGTAACCACAAGTTTCTTTTCTACATCTGTGGCTCTACTTCTGCTTTGTAAGTAGGTTCAACTGTAACATTTTAAAGTCTATTTTAAATTAATTAAGGAGATGTAGTTAAATTCATAATAAAGATTGAAATAGTTAAGGAAACAATTTATACATCTTATTGGCAATTATTTAATAAATTGAACATTCAAGAAATGTAACCAGGAGTGACTGTTATGCAAGCACGAAAACCCTTGCTATTGAAAAATTGAGGTGGGATCTGGGCAGAGCATCACAGTATCTAATACAGTTGATATTTTGGGTTCCCCTTGTAAGGTCAAGTAAATTGTCAGAATATATAGATTCATAGGTGATCAACCCTGAGTGGGACCTTGAATATCACACAGTTTATAACTTGGACCCTCAGCACAAACAAATTTAAACGTTTGTGAAGTGTCACTTCACCAAGGTACCAAAACTTGGCTAAGATATATCCCTCTGCGTCAGGCTCTCATACTCTATCCTTCCCAACAATTTTATAATGAAGATTAAAGGAATATGTTTTGGATAGTCCATATCTCGCTGCAAATATGTTACTGAATTATGTGTTAGATACTGCCTGTGAGAAGCGCTAGAAGAAACCATGAATAACAAATAAGTGTGGGTTCTGTTGATTCCTTTTGCCAAGGAGAAAAAATGAATTTGTTTAATTGGTGAAAATAAAGCTATTGTGTAGAAGCCAAGGGATGCAGGTGGGAACATCACAGGATAGTTGAAATTTAGTATCGCCTAGAGGCAGGAAATTGAACCAAGTGACCTGGCAAGGTTCCTATAAGCCCTTTAGCTGTGGAACTGAATTGAGAAAGTATTATTGTTTTTAATTGGTTCCCGTTCGACCTTATTAAAAGTTTAAGTGTGCTTTTACTCTAACCTTTTATCCTCTTGACATTTCTTTCCTTGTATTTTATAGGTCCTTTGCTTTTCTTCATCATAATTTCCCCTTTATATTGTACTAGGTTTCATTCTGGAAAAAAATGGTCTGTCTCCTTGCATTTGTTAAAAAGACCAACCGCAAAATATTCTTGAGGATGGAAATTGACTTTATGAGGCTTCTTTTTTTTGCCTCTGAAAGAATTATACGAGGCAGTTATTTCTTACATCTGTGAGACCCAGGCCATGTATTTTAACAATAATTGCTTGCAAATATGTTAGCCTTTATCCTGTAATCTGTTTGAGAATAAGCATATTTCTTTTCAACCTTGTTTCCCCAACAGCCTGACAGCCTGACACAGAGTAAACTCTCAATATGTCTGTTGAATGAATTAATAATTGTTAATGTATTGTAATTGTTCATTCAAGTATCCATCTCTTTTGCTGGATTGAATTTAAAGATGAGGATCAAATCATTTTCCTATTTGTACCATTGGTTCTTGTGTATACTGTTCATGTAGTAGTGTATTGCAGTGAATGAAGGAATGAAAAAATAATGAAACAGAATAGGAGGAACTCTGCATCATTACTGAAGGCTAGTGGAGAAGCTCCCTCCAAAATTAGCTTTCTTCTATGCCTGTCAAAGGTGTGGACAATTCCACTCTGTTTATGCACTGTCTGTTGCTAAGAGGGCCTCTTGATGAAGTAAGTCTAGAATTTAGTAGAAACTCAAGGTCATTTTTAGAAAGACAATTACCTCTTCACAGGATGAGAGCGCTGGCTACCTGAAGGGAAAGAAAATGATTAAGGTGGGCAAAAGACACTAAAAGAGGAAAGTTTTGCAGTTTGCAATGTTGCCCCAGATGAGTCCAGGGGTAAAATGCAAAGACATGGAGATAATCTATTTCAAATGTGTAACAATTAACACCAGAAAGGAAATCCATGTGCAACACTATTTCTATAAGATTAAAGAGGAGAGTGAAACAAGGCAGACATACTAATGAAAAGTTTCATTTACTTATCAAAGAAACAAATAAAAATGTTTTGGAGTATCTTCTTTGTTCTGGAAGCTGTGATAGGTACTGTGGATATAGCAAGAAACAGCAACGTTTTCACTATGCTGAAGAGTTTACTAGCGTATAGAGGAGGTTGATATTTAATATATATAACCAAAATCTATAACTGTGCAGTTGAAAAAGTGAAATGAAGGAAAAATTCCTGGTGTTGTAACACAAATAACAGTAGGATTAACCTAATCTGAAAGGTAACAGACAACTTTCTTGAAGAGAGGTCCCAAAAGACAACACTTGAGGGAAAAAAGGCATTAGCAATATAGAGAGGAAAGGAAACATCTTCTAGATAAAAGTGAGAACATGGGAAAAGATCTCAAGATAGGAAGAACATGAGCATAGCTGGAGCTAAATTATTAAGGTTGGAGTTTAGTAAGAAGTGGAAAGAATGGAGTAAATTGAAGTTGGAAAGGAGAGCAAAGGCTTGGGACAAATCATGCAATGCTTGATGGCCGAGGACTTTGGACTTTAATAGAGAGACGTCAAATAGTTTAATTCAGTTTATGGGAGAGAGACCACCAAAATATGCTTTTAAAAAAGATTACCGAGGAAGATGTCAATCATTTATCCTTCTGCATATAGAATAGCAGAAGTCCAAGGAATTGTTACAACCATGCATTTCTATTTTATCAGATAGTTTTTATTTTCCCCCTGCAATTTAAAACTTGTGAATTTTATTGTGTGTAAATTATACCTCCATAAAATTGATTTTAGAACATTTTAATGTTCAACTAAAACAAAGAATTCCACCCTTGTGCAACTCCTTCATATCTTGGCAGTGAGCATCAGTGGCTGCTAACATCTCCAAAACAGAGAAAGCCGAATTTGTGTCTTCTGTTGAAAGAATGCACCACTTCCTAGAGTCATATCAAAAGCAGGAACCTACATCCGATCTAGCATCTGGATCCAGCATTGAGTTTACAGGTAATCCAGCAGCCAGATGATATGTTGAACTACTCCATGAGGATTCAGTCTGCAAAATCCATACTCTGAGAGTCTTCACAGGAAAAATAGCATTAATCAAGTAAATGTTAAGGACAAAATGAAAGAGATGGGAAGAAAACCTGTAAATTAAGTCAATGTCATATTGAAAAGAGATTATATTTCCTTACCGTTATGGTCATGTCGTTTGTCACCAAACTTTTCATAAGTACCTTTCCACCCTAGGAGGGGTTACCTACTTCACCCCTTGGCCCTGGGCTCTGATATACTCAGTTTTCCTTGTTATTAACATCTTAACGTTAGTATGGTAAAGTCAATAATTAAATTATTTTAGTTTTTACCTAATATCATTTTTTTCCCCTGTCCTTGGATTCCATTCAGGAAACTATGTTACAGATAATTATATCTCCTTAAGCCCTTGTTGGCTATGGCAGTTTCTGGACTTCCCTTGTGTTTGATAACTTTGATAGTTTTGAAGAGTGTTGGTCAGGTATTTTGTAGAATGTGCCTCTGTTGGGATTTATGTGATGTTTTTCTCATGATTAGATTGGGATTATTGGTTTAGGGAGGAAGACTACATATACCAAGGGTACATACTGTCAACATGACCTGTCGCCTAGCTGAGATAGTGTTGGTCAGGTTTCTCCACTCTTAAATCATTCCTCTCTCTTTTCATATGTGCTCTTTGGAAATAGTTACCATGAAAAGTCAGCACTCGAGGAGTAAGAAGTTATGCCTTTCCTCCTTGAGAATGTCCATATAAATTATTTGAAATTCCTCTGCGTGGATTTTTTTTTGACACTTTAAATATTTCACGCCACTCTTTTCTTGCTTGCATGGTATCTGATGTGAAGTCCATTGTAATTCTTATTTTTGTTCCCCTATAGGGATGTGGATTTTTTTGGTGGGGGGAGGTCTGGCTTCTTTTGAAGTTTCTTTCTGTCTTTGGTTTTCTGCAGTTTGAATATGATATGCCTAGGTGTGGGAGTTTTTCTCTTTATTCTTTTGTATTTATCCTAGTTAGTCTTCTCTGCACCTTATAGATATGTGCATTGCTTTTCTATGACTCATTCTGTAAAATTCTCTGTTGGATCCATCATTTCTTCTGTTCCATTCTTTCATTCTTATCCTACTGGTATTTGAATTATGCATATATTACACCTTTTGAAATTATCCCAGTGTTCTTAGATATTCTGTACTGATTTCTTTTTCCTTCCATTCTCTTTGCATTTCAGTTTGGGAAGTTTCTATTGACATGTCCTCCAGCCCATCAATTATGATTCTTTACTTGGCTGCGTCAAGTCTGCTGATGAACCCACCAAAGGCATTCTGCTATCTTTTTGCTTTCTAGCATCTCCTTTTGTGTCTTTCTTAAAATTTCCATATATCTCTTTATATTATATATTTTTCTTATATGTTGTCTATTTTTTCCTTAACATTCTAATCATAGCTGTTTTAAATTTCTGTCTGATAATTTCTTCTGAGTCTGAGGACTGCTTAGATTTTTGTTTTTCCTGACTTTTGGCATTTCTTACAAGATGTGGGAGGCTGAACTTGTATTGGGTGCTAGGGACTGATAAATGGGCTTTCAGTAAGAACAGTTATGCAATCTGGGTTTAATGTTTGCTGTGTGTGTGCTGTCAGAGACTTCAGATCCCTCCACTGTCCTCGTTTTTCTCTCTCCCCTTCTCTTGGGGCTTCATAGCTATGTACTCCTCCTTAGAGAAAGTCTGGCAATTCTATTTTTCTGCAGCTCTGTTGGTATGAAGGTAAAAGCTAGGGGAGAGGATTGTTGTTCAGTTTCTATGTCATGGCCAACTCTTTGCAACCCTGTGGACTGTAGCACACAGGGCTCCTCTATCCTCCACTATCTTCTAGAGTTTGCTCAACTCATGTCCATTGAGTCAGTGATGCTATCTAACCATCTCATCCTCTGCTGCCCCTTTCTTTTGCCCTCAATCTTTCCCAACATCAGGGTCTTTTCCAGTGAGTCAGCTCTTCACATCAGGTGACCAAAGTCTTGGAGCTATAGCTTCAGCATCAGTCCTTCCAATGATATGCAGGACTCATTTCCTTTAGGATGGACTGGTTTGATCTCCTTGCAGTCCAAGGGACTCCTAAGAGTCTTCTCCAGCACCACAATTTGAAAGCATCAGTTCTTCGGTGCTCAGCCTTCTTTGTGGTCCGACTCTCGGGGAACAGTCTATAATCTGAAGATGAAATCTCAGTCTTTTAGTGGGTCTATGTCTCTTGTTTGTCACCTGCACAATTGTTTCTCTAGTGGGATAGCTTTTAATTTATTTCTTCTTGCCCCCTAACTTCCTTCCTTGGCTGCAGTGTTCCCAACTTATTTTTTTTAAGCCCTTACCCCTGTTAACTTTTTTCTCTTAGATGAGAGGGAAAGCCTACAGAGGTCTACAGTTTGAAGAATGACCTTCCCCCGATCTGAGACAAGGCTCAAAATTGCCTTTTCTGATAGTAGGCCTTTATTGTGAAGATAACCCTGGGATTGTTTCACAATAATCAGTGTAGTACTTCATGAAAAATTAGAAAATTTCCCTTTATCTTCAACATTTTGTTTTATTTATTTTTAGCTGCGTTGGGTCTTCATTGCTTTCCTAGGGCTTGTTTCTAGTTGTGGCAAGTGGCAGCCACTCTTCATTGTGGTGCTCAGGCTGCTCATTGTGGTGGCTTCTCTGGTTGTGGAGCATGGGCTCTAGGATGAGTGGGCTTAATAGCTGTGGAGCACGGGCTTAGTTGCTCCAGAGCACGCGGGATCATCCCAGAGCAGGGATCGAACCCATGTCCTCTGCATTAGCAGGCAGATTCTTATCCACTGGACCACCGGGGAAGCCCTCTTCAGTGTTTTAGAACAATTCATAAAGCATTTGAAATAGTGGTTCATTGAAAGGTTGATAGAATTTTCTTCTCAAGTTCTTCTCAAATTATTTGGGCAAAATGTTTCCTTTTTTTTTTTTTTCCCCAGTGGTATAATTTCTTTATTTTTATCTTCTGTGAAAAATATTATTTATTGATAATAGAGTCAAATATTGTTAGCCTGTATTACCCAAGGAAATTGTACATTTCAGGCAGATATTCAAATTATTTGATTAGAAGTCTGCAAAATAATCTCTTTCGGTGTTAATTTTTCCATTTCAGTGTTTGTTTTCCCTTATTATTTCTTATTTTTCATGTTTGTGATTTCTCTTATTTCATTAATTTCTTTAAACATACATTAATTTTCTTTAAGCCTACTATTTTTAAATCTGTTTCCTCCTTAATTCCCACATTTTATTTTTTTCCTCCTTTGTGCTTTCTTACTTCTTTATTATTCTTTTTTATAGGCTTTTTTCAGCTGGTATTTACTTTATTTGGTTTCATTCTTTTATTTTTTTGACTAACAAAAATGGAAGTCTATGAATTTTCCTCTAAACATATCTCTCTATTATCATTATTATTATTTTTTTTTTAGAAATTCTGTCATTTCAACTTGTACTTTCTGTTTACAAAAGTGTTTTTCATATATTTATTGGCCATTTGTATGTCTCCTTTGGAGAAATGTCTATTCAGACCTTTTTAAATTGGATTATTTGTGGCTTTTTTTTTTTTGTATTTTGCTTTTGAATTGTAGGAGTTCCTTATGTATGTATTTTGGATATTAACCCTTCATCAGATATATGGGTTATAAACATTTTCTCCCATTCTGTATGTTGTTTTTCATTTTGTTGATTTTTTTTTTCTATTCCGAAGCTTTTTACTTTGATGTAATCTTACTTTTCAATTTTTGTTTCTGTTGTTTTTGCTTTTGGTGTCATATCAAGAAATCATTGCTAAGGCCAATGTTAAGAAGCTTTTTCTCTTTGTTTCTTCTAGAAGATTTACAAGTTAAGTTTTTACATCTTTAATCCATTTTGAGTCAATTATTGTGCATGGTATAAGATTAAGATACAATTGCATTCTTTTGCATGTGGATACCTAGTTTTCCAAACACCATTTATTGATCATCATCACTAATCATTGTTGTTGTTGTTCAGTTGCTAAATCATGTCTGACTATTTGTGACCCTGTGGACTGCACACACCAGGCTCCTCTGTCCTCCACTATTTCCCGGAGTTTGCTGAAATTCATGTCTGTTGATTCAGTGATGCTATCCAACCATCTCTTCCTCTGCCATCCCCTTCTTTGCCCTCAATGTCTTCCAGTATCAGGGTCTCCAAACCACAATGAGATATCACCTCACAGCTGTTAGGAAGACTATTACCAAAAATACAAAGAAGTGTTGGTGAAGATATTGAGAAAAGGGAACCTTTGTACACCGTTGATGGGAATGTAAACAGTTGCAGCTACTTTGGAAAACAAAACATCCAGGCTTCTCAAAAAATTAAAAATAAAATTATCATATAATCCAGCAAATCCCATAGGTGCTTGTTTTGAAGTTGCATTCCCACAATAAGATAGGATACTTACTTGAACCGGGGGAGGGGAGAGGAAGCATCATAAACCTCTTGGAGACACCTCTTGGCTTCCCTATCCGTACTGATTAAGACTTTAATTATTCTTGCAACCTGTTTTTAGAATATTTTGGCACTCTTATTTTTTTGTACAAAATCAATACAAAGAATCGATGCAAAGAATCAAAACTTTTAAAAAGTAATATTTTAACTAGCTTGCATTCAAGTACTTTTAAAATGGACATTTTTGTTAGAGATAATGTTAGGCGTATTTGAAAAGAACCTATGCTTCCCTGGTGGTTCAGCTGGTAAAAAACCTGCCTGCCAGTGCAGGAAACTCAAGACACATGAGTTTGATCCGGGGGTTGGGAAGATCCCCTGTAGAAGGAAATGGCAACCCACTCGGGTATTCTTGACTGGAAAATTCCATGGACAGAGGGGCCTGGCAGGCTACAGTACATGGGGTTACAAAGAGTCAGACACGACTGAGCGGGCATGTACACTAGGTGTATTTACCTTAGTCTCTCCATG